GAAAAGTGTGTAATGAGCTTGCCAACGACGATCGAGTGGACTCGATCATCTCATCTGGTATTTTGTAGCAATTAACTTCGAAACTTTTAATTATTTCAAGAGTCGAGCACTCACGATCTCTTTTTTGAGTTTGACTGATTGGCAGGCCGAAACCTTCGCCTAGACTCAAGAAGTTCTTTATTTCAACCGGAATTTGCTTGTCGCCGATATTTATAATCCATTTTGATCTGTCAGCGTTAAGGAAGGCATCTAAACTCTTTCTATTCTTCAGACTAATTGTGTCAAACTTTCTGATTAGTTTGAGTTTAAGGTCTTGGTTGTGTTTTTCAATTCTATTTTCATTAGATCTAAAGAAATCAGCGACAAGCAACTCAGGGAGAATATTCTGTAGTGAGGTCTCAATGTTACAAAGCAGTTATAGTTCGTAAAACAAAACGTTGACGAATTAAGTTAATTATTAATATTCACTCGAGAGTATTATTTAGAGTCACACTGTTGGGTCACGGACTGGAGACAAAAATATTGAGAGAAAAAAGAGATAATTATTTTACCTCTTCTACTTCACCTTCCCATTCTTTTATCCTTCCTACTCTCGATAATTTCTTTCACCATGAACAGTAAATTTAATATATGTATATTGATCTGTGCATCAGGATATTGCCGAGAACGGGGCTGATCCCGCGCATCTCAACGCGGTGCACGGTCCGGCTATGTTCCTCAACGGCAACCTGTCCTGGCTGGCTCGGCACGTGTGGATCACTAACAGGGGATGGCAGGCGCACTGCTCGTACGACAGCGAGGCGAACGAGGACGCAAACGCGGATACAGAAGTAGCGGAGATGAGTCTTAAATTGAACGGGGCGTCGATCCACCACGCGGTCGCGCACAACGGCTTCGGTAGAAGGGAGAAGCACAGGGCCGGCCTGGACATGTGCCACAAGCTGATCCTGCTGGAGCGTTTCAGCGTGATGGAGCTCGACGTGCAGGTCGAGCAGATCGGCCCTAGCTACGTCGAGTTGCTGCTCAACACGTCGCTCGGGCCTATGTGCATCCTGCAGACAGTAACGCCGATCGAGCCGCTGCTGCAACGGGTGACACATCAGATCTTCTCGCCGCCCCTGCTGGCGCCGTACGCAAATCTGGTCTTCCTGGGCGAGTGCGTCATGTTCCAGCGCGACATCATGGTCTGGAACTACAAGAAATACGAACGGCAACCGATCCTGGTGCGCGAGGATCGTGCCATTCTCGCGTACCGTCGTTGGTACTCGCAATTCTACTCTGACAACAGTCCCACCTATCAAACGGCCGTGAAGGACCTCCAGTGGTAGCGATACCTTCCCTTTAACAGGTAACTTATATACTTTCTGTAAAATTTCTAGTATTTTTATTATAAAAATAGATAAGTTACATATAATGGTTATTCTTAAAGAAACGCATTCTCGAGATATGTTAATTCTAACATAAATAGTTGTTAATCTAAGACAAGATAAAATTTTTATTAGGACATCGATACATTTATGTTATTATAATTGATATAATAATAATAATTTTTTACTATCGCTTTATACGTTGGACTTACCTGCAATGTGCATATTATACAAAGTTTTACGACAGATGACAATGATATAAATGACGAGCTTTTCTCGGACTCTAATCGTTGCTATATATTTTCTTCTTATTTAAGATGAAATAGTAATGTTTAAGAGACTGATTCTTAAGATATACATATTTAAAATTTAGAAAAGTTAAATTATGAAAATTCTCTCTCGCTGCGTACAAATTTCAATTGACATACTTAACGATATTATTATCTTTCATGCGCTTCTGTTAGTTCCACAAATAAACTATTTTACGATGAAAAATGTAAAACTTTCAGCTTATCTCTGCACATAACGCAATAACTTCTTCATCGAGACGTTAGATAATATCTATATAAATATTTTAGATAATTGTTCAACATAGATTTATTTCACGTTAAATATTTTTTTTAATAATGACAAATGTGAAAAAAAGATGACTGTACATCTCGCGACGAATTAACAATTAATTAATTTCTTCTATTGACGTGATTTGTCCATAAATCAAGGCAATCGTTGCACAAGCAATTTGTGTAAAAGGAAAAGATAAGTAGAGCTAAAAATTAATATAACGTTTGATTAAAATACGACATCGAGTATATTGTGTTTATTGCATTAGAGATGAGACAAAAATATTCTAACAATGAAATTGAGATAAAGGAATTATTTTGGGTTTAAATTATTGCTTGTTTGTTCGCTCAAGCGCCATACATATATATTTTATTACAACTTGCAACTTTGCTATCGGAATAATAATCGTGGCGTCAAGCAAGCATCACTTGAGTTTATTATCGAATAGATTGAACTTTACATTGACTTCATCATTCAATAAACAAACAAGTGCTATATTCTATTGCCATTAGCTGTAACTATATGCTGAGAGATAAACTGATAGTCGCGTATATATATATATATATATATATATGCGATAAGAGACACCAGAATTATTAAACAAACGTCATGTGATTGAAACTAAACGTATGTACGCTGTTTAACAAAATATGGCATGGACCGTTTTATATCGAATAATAGACAGCAATTGCCACTACTCAGGGCCGGTTGACCCAACCTCTTGGTAAATTAACAAATAGTTGAATCAAATGTATGTCTTCCTTATTCTCTCAAATTAGTTAAAATTAGAAGAATAATTTAACTTAGTTAACTAGCCAGAAAGTTGGAAGAATTGACGCTTTATAATTATTTATTCTAACTTTTAATATAGGCACTTAAGAATTGTCTCAATGTTAACATAATAATCTAAAAAAAAAAGGTATCAATGTCAAATTGACTTTATTAGTAATGTAAAATTAATTAGCTATTCAATGGAGATGATTTTTACGATGAGTGTAAGTGTAGCGATAAGTGTAAAGTATTCTCGAAATGTGACAAACATATAACGTTACAAATTGCATAACCAACGTTATGTAATAGCAAGTTCGAATTATCTACGTATCGTACCCCATTATCACCAGCCAGCGCGCGCGTTGGTTGACGCTATCACTCTCGAAGTTGCTACTGAGAGGAGCAGTCGCAATTGACAACGGTCGTTCGACAGCTCCTTTGATCGTTCAGTGCCGTTCAGTTCTCCTCAAGAGCAGAGATGTTTGTCAATCTGGTGCTCTTGATTCTCATAGCCCTGATAGCTTTCTATATCTATCTGACAAAAAATTATAGATATTGGCAGTATCGTGGAATACCTTCCGCGGATGGCGCATTGCCGGGCGTTGGTCACTTCTGGGATGCCTTCATCTTAAGGACCTCCTTCTCCGACTGCTGTCACAAGATCTACAAGAAAAATCAGGATCGCAGCATGGTGGGAGTCTACAACTTCATGTCGCCGACATTGATGGTTCTCGAGCCAGAGCTGGTGAAGACGGTGCTCCAGACGAATTTTACAAGCTTCCACGAGAATGGCCTCAAGATCAATCCCGAGCTGGACCCTCTTCTGGCGAACAATCCCTTCTTCTGCTACGGTGAGAAGTGGATGACCGGGAGAAAGCGTTTGACTTACGCGTTCTCTAGTATGCGATTGAAAATCCTGCTCGAAAGTGTCAAGCGAGTGTGCGAGGAGTTCGAGGGCTACCTGAATAAGAAGCTGAGCAAAACCGGGAAAGTAGAGCTGGAGCTAAAGGACTTGTTCGCCAGGTTCACCGCGCAGGTGGTAAGTTCCGCTGGCTTTGGCGTGGACGGAATGTGCTTCGACGATAAGAGGGAGAAAGAGTCGTTCTACGCAATAGGCAAATCCTTCCTCGCGCCAACCGCTTGGAACAACATTGTTTTCACGCTCGTATTTTTTATTCCGTCGTTAGCAAACATCTTAAAATTGAGATTCTTACCAAAGAAGGCCGATCGTTTTTTCAAAGAAATAATTGCGAATGTTATTGAACAAAGGAGAAAGGAGAGTACACCTAGAAACGACTTTCTCCAGTTGATGGTGGATCTGGAACGGTCAGAGGGTGACACATTTGACCTGGAGGTCCTCACGTCCCACGCGGTGTCGTTTTTCATCGACGGCTACGAAACTTCCAGCACCGTTTTAAGCTTCATCGGCTTTAACTTGGCCGCGAATCCAAAAGTGCAGGAGAAGCTACGCGAGGAGGTGATGTCGGTGCTTAACAAACACGACGGTAAAATCACTTATGAAGGTTTGAGGGAGATGACGTACATGGATCAGGTATTGAGCGAATCGCAGAGGATCGTACCCACGCTGGGATTCCTGAATAAGGTTTGCACGGACGAGACCGAATTGCGAGGGTCCGATGGACTCATTTGTCGCGTGGAACGTGGAATGCACATCCTGATACCCACCTGCGGCTTACACGACGACTCTCGATACTGGGAAGATCCTAAAGTGTTCGATCCCGACAGATTTGCCCCGGAAAGGAAACAGAGCCTCGAGAGATTTGCCTATCTTCCTTTCGGCGAAGGACCGCGACTGTGCGTGGGGATGAGAATGGCGCAGTTACAGATAAAAGCATGCTTGGCCACGTTCCTGAAGAAGTACACCTTAGAGCTTTCCCCGAGGATGCAATTACCATTAAAGATGACTGCTTCGACCTTCCTGGCCGCCGCGGAGGGCGGTCTTTGGGGCATCGTCCGGCCTATTTAACCAGCGATATTTGTTTTTCCCGCAGATCTTTTTTCCGCTTTCATTTACTATTTTTACAATTATATAGATTTTTGTAACTATTTTGTTAATTTTTGTAAAATTAATGTTTTTAATAATATTTTTCGACTTATTTAAAACGATATTTTAACATAAGATGTGTACTAAAATATTGAAAAAAACATTAAATTTACTATAGTAGAACGTAGAGAATATTTCATTTACTCGAAGAATTGTGAACATTTCGTGAAATAAATTTCACGTTTTGAATTTTAATTGTTCGCCGTTTCCGGAATTGACGAATCGACGAATCGACTGGATCAAACGGAAATCGAAAGGTCGTGACATATAATTAAATAATACATTGCGATACATAGTTTATTTATAATTCATCAATGACACCTGCACTTCGCAGAATTTATGCGAGAGTTATCCGAGACGTATCGTTCGTACAATATCAAATCGTGATTTGCATAATAGTATTTATCTTAACCAGCCATTATATTGTGACTCGCGTGAGATTAATGTGAAATTGACTGTGCGATCACCGAGCTATTTCTGTCGCGCAAAATTGACACGCTTTAACGCGCCCGCAAGGACGCGCTGTTTTAGGCGCCCAGTTTTTTGCGTAGTTTCGAGCGAATCGACGCTTCGTGCGATCGTATTCTTCTCGCATCATCTTCCAGCGTGACATCATGGCCTCGAACTACAAGAAGTAGCGGTAACCGATCCTGGTGCACGAGGGCCGTCGTTGGTACTCTCAATTCTACTCTAACAACGGTCTTACCAAGGACGTATAGTATAAATGGACCCACCATGCGCTCTATGAAAAAGTGAAACCAGCCGAGCACGAATAAAGGGACTTCGTTGTTATATTAAAGCGTAATGTTCTTCGGCGCGTCTTTGACACATGGACAATTTTAACAGCTGGAGATAGACCAGCGTCGAAAAACATATTATTTGAAAGAGGCTAAGGATGCCTAGGGCCCGGGCGCGCGCCGGTGTCAGAGGGGCGCCAAAAACTATTCTAATAAGTACTTAAGGTAAGGTTTCATAAGCAGCAAGCAGCAACAGCTTAAATGTGTACAATTGTACAAAGTTACATATAATTAAAAATGTGAAACTTTTCCCTTTTACAAATGTTTCATATAGAAGCATGTATAAATCTATAAAATTATATAGAACTGCGTACAATTGTATAGAATTGTACAGAAATATACAGTATAAAAATATGTATGGACATATTTGATGTCTAATTCTAAATCATACTATACATTTATGTATGTTCATGCATGACAAAGTTTTTACCGGGAGGGCTATTCAATGGAGATTACTTTGGATCTTTACGATGACGAGCGGTGTGTTCGACACGCGACGTACGCACATAACATTACAAGTTGCATAACCACCTTTATATAATTGCAAGTTCGAATTATCTGCGTGCCATACCCTAGAATCACCAGCCAGCGTGCGCTTTGATTGACGCTATACTCTCCAAGTTACTACTGGGAGGAGCAGTCGCGATTGAAAACGGTCGTTCGACAGAAGCTCCTTAGATGGTTCAGTGAAGTTCAGTTCTCCTCAAGAGCAGAGATGTTCGTCAATCTGGTGCTCTTGATTCTCATAGCCCTGATAGCTCTCTATATCTATCTGACAAAAAATTATAGATATTGGAGGTACCGTGGAATACCTTGCGCGGATGGCGCATTGCCGGGCGTCGGCCACTTCTGGGATGTCTTCACCTTGAAGACCTCCGTCTTCGACTGCTGTCACAGGATCTACAACAACAATCGGCATCACAGTATGGTGGGATTCTACATCTTCACGTCGCCGACATTGATGGTTCTCGAGCCGGAGCTGGTGAAGACAGTGATGCAGACGAATTTTACAAGCTTCCACGAGAATGGCGTTAAGATCAATCCCGAGTTGGACCCTATTCTGGCGAACAATCCCTTCTTCTGCTACGGTGAGAAGTGGATGACCGGGAGAAAGCGTTTGACTTACGCGTTCTCCAGTATGCGATTGAAAATCCTGCTCGAAAGTGTCAAGCAAGTGTGCGAGGAGCTCGAGGGCTACCTGGATAAGAAGCTGAGCAAAGCCGGGAAAGTAGAGCTGGAGCTAAAGGACTTGTTCGCCAGATTCACCGCGCAGGTGGTGAGTGCCGCTGGCTTTGGCGTGGACGGCATGTGCTTCGACGATAAGAGGGAGAAAGAGTCGTTTTACGCAATAGGCAAATCCTTCCTCGAGCCAACCGCTTGGAAGAGCCTTGTTTTGACGCTCGTATTTCTTATTCCGCCGTTAGCAAACATCTTCAAATTAAGAATCTTACCGAAGAAGGCCGACCAGTTTTTCAGAGAAACAATTGCGAATATTATTGAGCACAGAAGAAAGGAGAATACACCTAGGAATGATTTTCTTCAGTTGATGGTGGATCTGGAGCGTAAAGAAGGTGATAAATTCGACCTAGAAGTCCTCACGTCCCACGCGGTGTCGTTTTTCATCGACGGCCACGACACCGCCAGCACCGTTTTAAGCTTCATCGCCTTCAACTTGGCCGCTAATCCAAAGGCGCAGGAGAAATTACGCGAGGAGGTGACGTCTGTGCTTAAAAAGTACGACGGTAAACTCACTTACGAAGGTTTGAGGGAGATGACGTACATGGATCAGGTATTGAGCGAATCGCAGAGGATCGTACCTACGGTAGGATTCCTGGATAAGGTTTGCACGGACGAGACCGAGTTGCGGGGGTCCGATGGAGTGGTTTGTCGCGTGGAACGTGGAATGCAGATCCTGATACCCATCTGCGGCTTGCACGGCGATTCTCGGTACTGGGAGGATCCTGAAGTGTTCGATCCCGACAGATTTGCCCCGGAAAGAAGACGGAGCGTCCAGAGATTTGCCTTCCTTCCTTTCGGCGAAGGACCGCGACAGTGCGTGGGAATGAGAATGGCGCAGTTGCAGATGAAAGCATGCTTGGCCACGTTCCTGAAGAAGTACACCTTAGAGCTGTCGCCGAAAATGCGATTACCATTGAAACTGACGAATTCGACCTTCATGAGCGCCGCGGAGGGCGGCCTTTGGGGCATCGTCCGGCCGATTTAATCAGAGATATTTGTTTATTCTCCAGCAGATTCTTTTTAGCTTTGAATGATTTTTGTTAATTATATACATTTTTGTAACCATACGATTAATTTTTGGAAAATTTATGTTTTTAATAATATGTTTCAATTAATTTAAAATGATACTTTAACATAAGATTGTACTAAAAAGACGCTGAAGAATCATTAAATTCACTAGAACGTATTTCGTGTATTCGAAAAATCGTTAACATTTAGGTCTCTTAGTTTTTCACTGACAATGAAATTAATATCTCGCGGTGTGAATTTAAATTGGTCGCCGTTCCCGGAAGTGACGAATCGGCGCTTGATCAAATGGAAGTCGGAAACTCGTAACATACAATTAAATGATATTTGTGCAGTTTATTTATAATTCATCAACGGCACCTGCGCCTCGCAGGATTTATGCACGAATTCATTCGAGACGTATCGCTCGTATAGTATCATGACTTGCATAAAATAATATTCATCAGCCATTGCATTGACTCACATTGCGACTCGCGGGAGATGAACGTGAAGTTGGCTGCGCGTCCATAGCGTCCTTCTGTCGCGCAAGCTTCGCACGCTGCTCTGACGCCCCTGCGAGACTCCTGCAGCTTTCGTCGAGCGGTTCAACGTACGATCGTATTTTTCTCAGGTAACCTTCCGGCCGTAACGAAGCACGCGTCACGTTCGGGCACGTCTACATTGTCACACTGATCATTATATATGTTCTGGTCGCACGAAATTGTAGCTAGCCTAGTCACGAGTGGAAACGCGAGGAAGGATAGAATGCGAGAGCAGGAGGAGGAGATGGAGATGAAGGAGGTCCGAATGGCATTGGGCGATGACGAGATCCGCGAGGTACGTAGTGTATTTATTAGCCGCCTATTTGTGCAGTTTTTATTTAAGAAGTGCTGCCCACTGGAAAGTTGCGCTCGGAGCGCAATGACGCGCACATAGACGTAATACATCTGGACCGAGCATTTAGCAGTGGGGGTAGAGGTTCACGTAGAAAAGGACAAAAGCGGAGCTCGTCCTCTTCTACGCGAACCTCGACCTCCACTACGCAAATAAAGGCAAACGCTCGGTCTAGAGATATCACGGCTGTTGGCGCGCACGCGTAAATGTGTACGTACATTTGTGGCTATTTTGAAAGATTTATATAATATATGGTTACACAATACCGCGAGTTTTACACTGGCACGCGTGATTCTGAATATTTTTTTAACCCTTGGAATATGCTGTGTTCTAAAATGCACACACATGTAAGGACACCATAAATTTTTGTACAAAGTAATTTACAATTGGCAGTGATCTAAACTTGATTTATCGTGGATATTTAAAAAAAATTAAAATTTATAGATTCTATTGTCACAAATTCGTATAACAAAATGTCTTAAAAAGGAGATTTGCAAGATTTCAAGTATTTTAATTTTTTATTCTAACATATAAAACAACAGTAATAATCACAAACTTTTAAAGATCATAATCGCATTATTTTATGTAAAAAAGTATGTACAAAAATGATATATTCCAAACATTCTAATCTTTTTAATTTCTGTTTAAAGAGACAAAAACATAGTAAAATTGTTAGACATTTTCTTGCTGAATTATAATATAAAATAAAATATATAGTATTTGCATAAGATAAAATATATTATGAAATCTCAAGTATCTTTTTCATTTTTGTATAAATAAAAGCAGCAATTAAAGCGTGTTAAATTTGAAGCGAAATCTATTTTGTAAAGATGGAGATTTTTTCTCTCCGAATATAAAAACATTATCGCGACGCTGAAAGAAGATATTCGCACCTAAAGATGCTTAAAATAGACCCACAGACCGCCTTTTGGTGATGGCAGAAGCGCTCCAGGTATCATCTTCAAAGGTAATTGCGTCCTCGGTGATACCTCCATGCTGTATCTCTTCAGAATTATAGCCAGACCTGCTTTGATCTGCAGCTGCGCCATTCTCATGCCCACGCAGATACGCGGGCCCTCGCCGAAAGGGATGAAGGTGAACTTCTTGATGTTCTGCTTCCTCTCCGGGCTGAATCTTTCAGGATCGTACTCCTTGGGATTCTCCCAGTATTCGGGATCGTTGTGCAAAGACGGACTCGGTATCAGGACCTCCATTCCGGGTCGCATGCGACAGACAACTCCGTCGGATCCTCTCAGCTCGATCTCTTCCGTGCACCTCTTCTTCATGAGCACTTGCGCGGGAATCAACCTCATCGTCTCGTTGAAAACCTGGTCCATATACGTCATCTCCCGCAGACCCTCGTAAGTGATTTCACCGTTGTATCTATTGATCACGGACATCACTTCTTCGCGCAATTTCTTCTGTATTTCCGGGTAAGTGGCCAATTGGAAGGCGATGAAGCTCATAACAGTGCTGGAGGTCTCGTAGCCGTCGACGACGAACGACAACGCCTGTCCCGTGAGGGTTTCGACGTCGAACGTATCCTTCTCCGCCCGCTCCAGCTCGGCCATCAAGTGGAGAAAGTCGTTCCTCGGTATGCCGTCCTTTCTCCTTTGTTCTATGAGGTCGGCGATCAGAGTCCTGAAGAAATAGTCGACGTGCTTCGGGATGAAACTCATTTTGAGGATTTTATTCAACGACGGGATGAAGAACAGCAGCATGAACACAATTTTGTTCCGCATTGTCGGCTCCATGATGCTCTGTCCGATCTTTCGAAAAGAAATATCCTTCTTCGCGTCGTCGAAGCAGTAACCGTCCACGCCGAAGCCAGCAGCGGCCACCACTTGCGCGGAGTATCTTGACAATAACGACTTGAGCTCGAACTCCGCTTTCTCGTGGTCGCCCAGTTTTTCATTGATAAAATTCTCGAAAGTATCGCACACCTTATTGACGTTTACAAGCAGGGTCTTCAGTCGCATACTGGAAAATGCATAGGTCAAGCGCTTTCTGCTTGTCTGCCACTTCTCGCCGGAAAGATTGAAGGGATTCAATGATACGAGCGGATCCACTTCGGGGTCAATCTCGATGGTGTTCTCGGCAAAACTTGAGAAATGTGTCTGCAACACTGTTTTCACTAACTCAGGCTCGAAGACCATCAACGACGGCGACGTGAACTCGTAGATCCCGACCATGCTGCGGCCCTTGTTCTTTTTATAGATGTTGTCGCAGAAATCGGCGAGGTTCGTCCACATGGAGACCACCGGCAGCATGTGACCGAATCCCGGAAGGGCTCCATCCACACATGGAACTCCATGTTTTTGCCAGTAGTTGTGATTACGCGTTAGATAAAAGTAAAGGGCTATAAGCGCCCCGAGAATCAGAGACACCAGCACGACGGCCATATCGCTTCTCTCGGCCGACAGGCGTAACTTGGCCAGATAAATTGATGTAGCCTTGACCACGTATCAGCCACGACTGTGATGTAGTGGAATCGCTAAAGCGAGTGTACTTTGATAGCGCTGATTAACTGGTACATCATGGCTGCAAAACAGTAATAAAATTTGCATTGGCGATTTCCAGTGTCGTCAAGTGAATGTTATTAAGCGATATCAGAGGACATTTTCTCGCCATTGTGGTTAGATTCAATTGATTGTCGCAATTATCACGCGGAAATAATAGAAGGAGATATACATTAAATATATTAAGAAACGTTGAATTATTTTCATGTTGCATTCAAAATGTAACAATAAAAATATCACAAAAAATTTATTAAATATAAATACTATTTAAAAAATATTAGAACAATATTACACAAGTAGTACAAAAAGAAATAACATCGTGATGAAAATTGAGACAGAGGGATTATTTTGGAAAAAGTTGAGCTTTTAAATTATCGCTTGTTTGCTCGCTTAAGTGTCATAGTTTATTACAACTTACAAGTTCGCTATCGGAATAATAATCACAGTGCCAAGAAAGCCGCATTGAAGTCGAACAGATTTATCTTACCCTGACTTCATCGAATGAAAAACAAGCTGTTATATTCTCTTATCATTATTTGTAATTGCTATATAGTACTGATAGACTTGTTTAGAGTCACATATGCGATAAACTCAATTACGAAGGTTTGAGAGAGATGACGTACATGGATCAGGTATTGAGCGAATCGCAGAGGATCGTACCTACGGTGGAATTCCTGAATAAGGTTTGCACGGACGAGACCGAATTGCGAGGGTCCGATGGAGTCGTTTGTCGCGTGGAACGTGGAATGCAGATCCTAATACCCATCTGCGGCTTGCACGGCGATCCTCGGTACTGGGAGGATCCTGAAGTGTTCGATCCCGACAGATTTGCCCCGGAAAGAAGACGGAGCGTCCAGAGATTTGCCTTCCTTTCGGCGAAGGACCGCGGCAGTGCGTGGGAATGAGAATGGCGCAGTTGCAGATGAAAGCATGCTTGGCCACGTTCCTGAAGAAGTACACCTTAGAGCAAGGCCGGATTAACGTTTTTGAGGCCCAGGGCTATTGGCTCCGTGGGGGCCCTTTATTGAAAAAGCGGGGGGGGAGGGGACAAATTTTGTACACCCCTCTTTGTACAAAAGGTGTAGAAAACAATTTTCTTTTTTTCATAAAGCTTTTATAAAAATACATGCTATACATGAAGATCTTGCATTAGCGTTTAAAAAGTATTCTTGAATAGTGCTCTCTCGGGTGAGGCCCCCTAATAAGTGAGGCCCGGGGCTATAGCCCCCTTGGCCCCCCCTTTAATCCGGCCGTGCCTTAGAGCTGTCGCCGAAGACGCGATTACCATTGAAGCTGACGAATTCGACCTTTGTGAGCGCCGCCGATGGCGGCCTTTGGGGCATCGTCCGGCCGATTTAATCAGAGATATTTGTTTCTTCTCCAGCAGATTTTTTTTCGCTTTGACTGATTTTTGTTAATTATATAGATTTTTGTAACTATTCGGTTAATTTTTGGAAAATTTATGTTTTTAATAATATGTTTCAATTAATTTGAAATGATATACTTTAACATAAGATTGTACTAAAAAGACGCTGAAGAATCATTAAATTCACTAGAACGTATTTCGCGTATTCGAAAAATCGTTAACATTTAGGTCTCTTAGTTTTTCGCCGACAATGAAATTAATATCTCGCGGTGTGAATTTAAATTGGTCGCCGTTTCCGGAAGTGACGAATCGGCGCTTGATCAAATGGAAGTCGGAAACTCGTAACATACAATTAAATGATATTTGGGGATATACACTTTATTTATAATTCATCAACGGCACCTGCGCCTCGCAGGATTTATGCATGAATTCATTCGAGACGTATCGCCCGTATAGTATCATGACTTGCATAAAATAATATTCATCAGCCATTGCATTGACTCACGTTGTGACTCGCGGGAGATGAACGTGAAGTTGGCTGCGCGTCCATAGCGTCCTTCTGTCGCGCAAGCTTCGCACGCTGCTCTGACGCCCCCGCTCCTGCAGCTTTCGTCGAGCGGTTCAACGCTTCCATACGATCGTATTTTTCTCAGGTAACCTTCCGGCCGTAACGAAGCACGCGTCACGTTCGGGCACGTCTAAATTGTCACACTGATCATTATGTTCTGGTCGCACGGAATCGTAGCTAGCCTAGTCACGAGTGGAGGCGCGAGGATGGATAGAATGCGAGGGCAGGAGGAGGAGATGGAGATAAAGGAGGTCCGAATGGCATTGGGCGATGACTAGATCCGCGAGGTACGTAGTGTATTTATTAACCGCCTATTTGTGCAGTTTTTATTTAAGAAGTGCTGCCCACTGGAAAGTTGCGCTCGGAGCGCAATGGCGCGCACATAGACGTAATACATCTGGACCGAGCATTTAGCAGTGGGGGTAGAGGTTCACGTAGAGAAGGACAAAAGCGGAGCTTGTCCTCTTTTACGCGAACCTCGACCTCCACTGCGTAAATAAAGGCAAACGCTCGGTTTAGAGATATCATGGCTGTTGGCGCGCACGCGTAAAGGTGTACGTACATTTGTGGCTATTTTGAAAGATTTATATAATATATGTTTACACAATACTGCGAGTTTTACACTGGCACGCGTGATTCTGAATATTTTTCTTAACCCTTGGAATATGCTGTGTTCTAAAATGCATACACATGTATAAGGACACCATAAATTTTTGTACAAAGTAATTTACAATTGGCAGTGTCACAAATTCGTATAACAAAATGTCTTAAAAAGGAGATTTGCAAGATTTCAAGTATTTTAATTTTTTATTCTAATATATAAAACAACAGTAATAATCACAAACTTTTAAAGATCATAATCGCATTATTCCATGTAAAAAAAGTATGTATAAAAAATGATATATTCCAAACATTCTAATCTTTTTAATTTCTGTTTAAAGTGACAAAATCATAGTAAAATTCTTACACATTTTCTTGCTGAATTATAATATAATGTAAAATATATAGTATTTGCATAAGATAAAATATATCATGAAATCTCAAGTATCTTTTTCATTTTTGTATAAATAAAAGCAGCAATTAAAGCGTGTTAAATTTGAAGCGAAATCTATTTTGTAAAGATGGAGATTTTTTTCTCTCCGAATATAAAAACATCATCGCGACGCTGAAAGAAGATATTCGCACCTAAAGATGCTTAAAATAGACCCACAGACCGCCTTTTGGTGATGGCAGAAGCGCTCCAGGTATCATCTTCAAAGGTAATTGCGTCCTCGGTGATACCTCCATGCTGTATCTCTTCAGAATTATAGCCAGACCTGCTTTGATCTGCAGCTGCGCCATTCTCATGCCCACGCAGATACGCGGGCCCTCGCCGAAGGGGATGTAGGTGAACTTCTTGATGTTCTGCTTCCTCTCCGGGCCGAATCTTTCAGGATCGTACTCCTTGGGATTCTCCCAGTATTCGGGATCGTTGTGCAAAGACGGACTCGGTATCAGGACCTCCATTCCGGGTCGCATGCGACAGACAACTCCGTCGGATCCTCTCAGCTCGATCTCTTCCGTGCACCTCTTCTTCATGAGCATTTGCGCGGGAATCAACCTCATCGTCTCGTTGAAAACCTGGTCCATATACGTCATCTCCCGCAGACCCTCGTAAGTGATTTCACCGTTGTATCTATTGGTCACGGACATCACTTCTTCGCGCAATTTCTTCTGTATTTCCGGGTAAGTGGCCAAGTGGAAGGCGATGAAGCTCATAACAGTGCTGGAGGTCTCGTAGCCATCGAGGACGAACGACAACGCCTGTCCCGTGAGGGTTTCGACGTCGAACGTATCCTTCTCCGCCCGCTCCAGCTCGGCCATCAAGTGGAGAAAGTCGTTCCTCGGTATGCTGTCCTTTCTCCTTTGTTCTATAAGGTCGGCGATCAGCGTCCTGAAGAAATAGTCGACGTGCTTCGGGATGAAACTCATTTTGAAGATTTTATTCAACGACGGGATGAAGAACAGCAGCATGAACACAATTTTGTTCCGCATTGTCGGCTCCAAGATGCTCTGTCCGATCTTTCGAAAAGAAATATCCTTCTTCGCGTCGTCGAAGCAGTAACCGTCCACGCCGAAGCCAGCAGCGGCCACCACTTGCGCGGAGTATCTTGACAATAACGACTTGAGCTCGAACTCCGCTTTCTCGTGGTCGCCCAGTTTTTCATTGATAAAATTCTCGAATGTATCGCACACCTTATTGACGTTTACAAGCAGGGTCTTCAGTCGCATACTGGAAAATGCATAGGTCAAGCGCTTTCTGCTTGTCTGCCACTTCTCGCCGGAAAGATTGAAGGGATTCAATGATACGAGCGGATCCATTTCGGGGTCAAACTTCATGGTGTTCTCGGCAAAACTTGAGAAATTTGTCTGCAACACTGTTTTCACTAACTCAGGCTCGAAGACCATCAACGACGGCGACGTGAACTGGTAGATCCCGACCATGCTGCGGCCCTTGTTCTTCTTATAGATGTTGTCGCAGAAATCGGCGAGGTTCGTCCACATGGAGACCACCGGCAGCATGTGACCGAATCCCGGAAGCGCTCCATCCACACATGGAACTCCATGTTTTTGCCAGTAGTTGTGATTACGGGTTAGATAAAAGTAAAGGACTATAAGCGCCCCGAGAATCAGAGACACCAGCACGACGGCCATATCGCTTCTCCCGGCCGACAGGCGAAACTTGGCCAGATAAATTGATGTAGCCTTGATCACATATCAGCCACGACTGTGATGTAGTGGAATCGCTAAAGCGAGTGTACTTTGATAGCGCTGATTAACTGGTACATCATGGCTGCAAAACAGTAATAAAATTTGCATTGGCGATTTCCAGTGTCGTCAAGTGAATGTTATTAAGCGATATCAGAGGACATTTTCTCGCCATTGTGATTAGATTCTCTTGATTGTCGCAATTATCACGCGGAAACAATATAAGGAGATGTACATTAAATATATTAAGAAAACGTTGAATTATTTTCATGTTGCATTAAAAATGCAACAATAAAAATATCACAAAAGACTTATTAAATATAAATACTATTTAAAAAATATTACGACAATATTACACAAGTAGTACAAAAAGAAATAAAATCGTGATGATAAAATTGAGACAGAGGGAATATTTTGGAAAAAGTTGAGCTTTTAAATTATCGCTTGTTTGCTCGCTTAAGTGTCATAGTTTATTACAACTTACAAGTTCGCTATCGGAATAATAATCACAGTGCCAAGAGAGCCGCATTGAAGTCGAACAGAATTATCTTACACTGACTTCATCGTATGAAAAACAAGCTGTTATACTCTCTTATCATTATTTGTAATTACTGTGTAATACTGATAGACTTGTTTATAGTTGCATATGCGATAAAAGAGACTAGATTTCCGTAAATTTAATCAACAAGCGTTATGTGGCTGAAACTAAACGTACGCAGTGTGACGGAACATGGGTATATGGGTCGTTTTCTTATTGAATAATAGGCCGCAATTGTGCTACTTAGTCAAATGTTCTAGCTTTTACTACTGGGTGGTGAATAAGAATCGCCTCAATGTCAATATACGGGGATAGTCAATGTCAATGTAATAGTCTCGGTATTAAGGTCAAGTTCACTTTATTATTAGTACTCTAAAAATAATTAAACGTATTCAATGGATTATTTTAGATCTTTACAATGACAAGCGATAATATCTACACGCGATATAACGTACGTAACATTACACGTTACATAATCGACATTATATAACATCAAGATTGCATTATACATGCATACTACATTAAACAGCGTGACCATAGACTGATCAGTCTCGCAGTTACTATTGAGAGAAGCAGTCGCAATTAAAAATAGTCGTTCTACGGAAGTTTCTTGATTCATTCAGCGTCGTTCAGTCCTCTTCAAGAGCGAAGATGATCATCAGTCTATTGCTCTTGACCCTCATATTCCTGATAGTTCTCTATGTCTGTCTAACAAAAAATTCTAAATACTGGCAAAAACGTGGAGTACCTTGCGCGGATGGCGCATTGCCGGGCGTTGGTCACCTCTGGGACGTCGTTACCATGAAGAAAACTGTATCCGAATGCTGTCGCAAGATTTACAATGAAAATCGGGATCACAGTATGGTGGGATTCTACAACTTCACGACGCCCGTATTGATGGTTCGCGAGCCGGAGCTGGTGAAGACGGTGCTGCAGACGAGTTTTGGAAGCTTTCACGATAATGCTATCAAGATCAATCCCAAGTTGGACCCACTTTTGGCGAACAATCCCTTCTTCATCTACGGTGACAAGTGGATGGCTGCAAGAAAACGCTTGACGTACGCGTTCTCCAGTATGCGATTGAAAATCCTGCTCGAAAGTGTCAAGCAAGTGTGCGAGACGTTAGAGCAGTACGTGAATAAAAAGCTGGGCAAAAGCGGGAAAGTAGAATTCGAGCTAAAGGAGTTGTTCGCCAAATTCACCGCGCAAGTGGTAAGTGGCACTGGCTTTGGCGTGGACGGATTGTGCTTCAACGACGAGAGAGCGAAAGAGTCGTTCTACGCGATAGGCAATTCCTTCCTCCAGCCAACCGCTTGGAACAACTTCATTTTCTTGCTAGTATTTCTTGTACCACCGTTAGCAGACATCTTCCAAGTGGGGATGGTACCAAAGAAGGCCGACCGTTTTTTTAGAGCGATAATTGTGGATGTTATCGAGCAAAGAAGAAAGGAGAGTATACCTAGAAACGACTTCCTCCAGTTGATGGTCGATCTGGAACGAGCAGAGGGTGAGAAGTTTGACCTGGAAGTCCTCACGGCCCACACGGTGTCGTTTTTCATCGACGGCTACGAGACCTCCAGCTCCGTTTTAAGCTACGTCGCCTTCAACTTGGCCATTAATCCAGAAGTGCAGGAAAAATTACGTAAGGAGGCGATATCTGTGCTTAACAAATACAACGGTAAACTCACTTATGAAGCTTTGAGGGAGATGACGTACATGGATCAGGTAATAAGTGAGTCGCAGAGGATATTACCCACGGTGGGATTCCTGAACAAGGTTTGCACGGAAGAGACCGAATTGCGAGGGTCCGATGGACTGGTTTGTCGCGTGGAACGTGGAACGCCCATTCTGATACCTATCTACGGCTTGCACCACGATCCTCGGTACTGGGAGGATCCTAAAGTGTTCGATCCTGACAGATTTAGCCCGGAGAGAAAACAGAGCCTCGAGAGATTTGCCTTTCTTCCTTTCGGCGATGGACCGCGACAGTGCGTGGGAATGAGAATGGCTCTGTTGCAGATAAAAGCATGCTTGGCCACGTTCCTGAAGAACTACTCCTTAGAGCTCTCCCCGAAGACGCAATTACCATTAAAGATAACGGGTAACACCTTCGTGACTGCTGCGGAGGGCGGTCTTTGGGCCATCGTCCGGCCGATTCAAGGATGAGATATTTGTTCAGTTTTTTAAACAGATTTTTTTCCCTTTTATTACTTTCTTTACAATTATATAGACTTTTGTAACTGTTGTTTTAATTTCTGTAAGATTAATTTTTTAAATATTTTTTCATGGTTTTTAAGTGATACTTTGTGATGTAATAAAAAGGTAACAAGTATTAACAAAACATTAAATTTACTATAACGTAAAAAATATTTTATATATTCATAGAATCATAAACATTTCGGTTTCTTCTTTTAGCTAAAGATATGAGATTTAATTTTTACTGTAAACATTTTTTGTTTAACATTATACATTCAGTAACGAAAAAGCTGAATTAATGTGGTTTACGTTATTTTCCACCGCATGTCTAGATTAGATATTGTTGTAGTAAAAATAATAGGAACAATGCAATTTAGCATAGATAACAATAACCAAGGATACATAACAAGGTCAGATAAGAATAACGATTATACATGCGTCATATGGTGGGATTATGGCTGGCCAAATGTTTCTGACGATGAAATATTTGTAAATTTAACTGCAAGAAGACTAATTGACAATCGGTAATCACGTCGGAGCAAATTTACCAATGTAAATAAAATAAAAATATTTTTATCTACCGGAATTGATCTGGAGAATAATTTTCGTTCGCGTCTATTCATAATAATAAGTGACTATAAATATATATTATAATGAAAGCAATAAAGTAACAGGGATTAAACAGGTGTTAAACGAGGCGTAACATCCGATAACTTGTTAACAGCAACAACTTGCCAAACAGAAATTCAACGTGAACAACGGAAAAATTTTGGGAACGAGGGTTGCATCGGGTGACCAAAAGCATAAAATTCGACACAAACATAAATAACAGAAACAATAACGTTCAGATAAGCAACATACGAGAAGCATTCAAAAGCAGCATAATACGTTTGTGTGTGTGTTGTATTTGACCAATTCTCTTTCATCGAATATAAAGCCGTCTTCTTTCTTTACGACGTGTACCTTGAACGCCTTCGTTCGAATTGTATTACTCCGCGGACGAAATTTAACTTCAATCGTTACCACAGGCAAAGTACAAATCGTTCATGTTGTAATTTTTCTTTTTTACCGGAAAATCGACACTACGTTCATCGAGTACATCTATTTTTTATCATCTGGGTAATTAACATAAACCATTCTGTTTCTGCAATAGTATGTATATGCGTTTACCTTAGACTTTAAAACTACATCGTAAAAGATATCAAATTCTATAAAGAAAACTGTTAACGTTTTTATTCATATTCATGGTAACAACGTTCCAGAGGTGACCAACGCCCGGCATTACGCCATCCGCGCAAGGTATTCCACGTTTTTGCCAGTATTTATAATTTTTTGTTAGATAGACATAGATAACTATCAGGAATACGAGGGTCAAGAGCAATAAACTGATGATCATCTTCGCTCTTGAAGAGGACTGAACGACGCTGAATGAATCAAGGAGCTATGTTGCTTAATTCGTCAAAATATCTCTTAATGTGACTATTCTTAAGAATTGAAAAAATTTCTGTTAATACATTCGGATAAATGTTCAATGTTAATGTAATCAGATAGTTAATAGCAATATAATAGTCTCGGTATCATGGTCAAGTTGACTTTATTAGTATCACTCTAAAAATAACTAAACGTATTTAATGGATCGTTTTAGATCTTTACGATGACAAGTGATAATTTCGACACGCGTAGTAACGTACGTAACGTTACAAATTACATGATAGTCATTATGTAATACCAAGTTCGCATTATACATGCATCGTGCTACTTCAGCGTGAGCATAGACTGATGCCGTCATTCTCAAAGTTACTATTGCGAGAGGCAGTCGCAATTGAAAATAGTCGTTCGACGGAAGCTCCTTGATTCATTCAGCGTCGTTCAATCCTCTTCAAGAGCGAAGATGATCATCAGTCTATTGCTCTTGACCCTCGTATTCCTGATAGTTATCTATGTTTATCTAACAAAAAATTATAAATTCTGGCAAAAACGTGGAGTACCTTACGCGGATGGCGCATTGCCGGGCGTTGGTCACCTCTGGGACGTCGTTACCATGAAGACCACTATATCCGAATGCTATCGCAAGATTTATAATGAAAATCAGGATCACAGTATGGTGGGAGTCTATAGCTTCCAGACGCCCGTATTGATGGTTCGCGAGCCGGAGCTGGTGAAGACGGTGCTACAGACGAGTTTTGGAAGCTTTCACGATAATGCTATCAAGATCAATCCCAAGTTGGACCCACTTTTTGCGAACAATCCCTTCTGCATGTACGGTGACAAGTGGATGGCTGCAAGAAAACGCTTGACGTACGCGTTCTCCAGTATGCGATTGAAAATCCTGTTCGAAAGTGTCAAGCAAGTGTGCGAGACGTTAGAGGAGTACGTGAATAAAAAGCTGGGCAAAAGCGGAAAAGTAGAATTCGAGCTAAAGGAGTTGTTCGCCAAATTCACCGCGCAAGTGGTAAGTGGCATTGGCTTTGGCGTGGACGGATTGTGTTTCAACGACGAGAGAGCGAAAGAGTCGTTCTACGCGATAGGCAATTCCTTCCTCGAGCCAACCGCTTGGAACAACTTCATTTCATCGCTGGTATTGTTTGTACCACCGTTAGCAGACGTCTTCAAAGTGAGGCTGCTACCAAAGAAGGCCGATCGTTTTTTCAGAGAAATAATTGCGAATGTTATTGAGGAAAGGAGAAAGGAGAGTACACCTAGAAACGACTTCCTTCAGTTGATGGTCGATCTGGAACGAGCAGAGGGTGAAAAGCTTGACCTGGAAGTCCTCACGTCCCACGCGGTGTCTTTTTTCCTCGACGGCTACGAGACCTCCAGCACCACTTTAAGCTACGTCGCCTTCAACTTGGCCAATAAGCCAGAAGTGCAGGAGAAATTACGTGAGGAGGTGATATCTGTGCTTAACAAATACAACGGTAAACTCACTTATGAAGCTTTGAGGGAGATGACGTACATGGATCAGGTAATAAGTGAATCGCAGAGGATCTTACCCACGGTGGGACTCCTGAACAAGGTTTGCACGGAAGACACCGAATTGCGAGGGTCCGATGGACTGGTTTGTCGCGTGGAACGTGGAACGCCCATTCTGATACCTATCTACGGCTTGCAGCACGATCCTCGGTACTGGAAGGATCCTAAAGTGTTCGATCCAGACAGATTTGGCCCGGAGAGAAAACAGAGCCTCGAGAGATTTGCCTTTCTTCCTTTCGGCGATGGACCGCGACAGTGCGTGGGAATGAGAATGGCTCTGTTGCAGATGAAAGCAGGCTTGGTCACGTTCCTGAAGAAGTACACCATAGAGCTGTCCCCGAAGATGCAATTACCATTAAAGATAACGGGTACCGCCTTCCTGACTGCTGTGGAGGGCGGTATTTGGGGCATTATTCGGCCGATTCAAGGATGAGATATTTGCTCAGTTTTTTCAGCAGATTTTTCTTTGCTTTGATTAGTCTCTTTACAATTATAATTTTGTAACTCTTGTTTAGCTTTTTCAGCAGATTTTTCTTTGCTTTGATTAGTTTCTTTACAATTATAATTTTGTAACTGTTGTCTTAATTTCTATAAGAGTAATTTTTTAAATAATATTTTTTATGGTTTCAAGTCATACTTTAAGATTTAATAAAAAAGTAACAAATATTTAAAAAACATTAAACTTAATATAATAACGTAGAGAATATTTAATTTGTTCACAGAATCATAAACATTTTGGTTTCTTCTGTTAACTAAAGAAATGAGATCTAATTTGTGCGGTGAACATTATTTTATTTTACATTATACAGTCAGTAACGAAAAAACTTAATTAATGTGGTTTACGTTATTTTCCACCGCATGTCTAGATGAGATATTGTTGTAGTAAAAATAGTAACGTTTTGAAGCCAGAGATTATTGTACAGGCGTAACACTTATTGCGCACAATTCCGCGATCAAGTTATCAATCATGACTCAATAGCTGCATTCAGCATTTGAAGTAGGCGTCGGAATGGTCGTCTTCCTTTTCTATCTCAGTTTCCTCTCTTGCTCGCTCTCTATCTGTAACGCAAGAGTGAGCACACTCCGGCGCCTCTGATTTTCAATGTTAAACGCAGCTGATGTTGCGATATTAAAACGGCTACAGTTAAATTATACATAATGCAAATTTAATAAAAAAGTGTTTTGCGCAGAAATCAATTACGTGCGCATTAGATAAGAATGTATAATTTAGAGAGGATACATCATTTATAGTCATAATGCGCTACAGAAATCATCTAGTTTTAAATATAATGCCTGCTCTGGATACGAGTTTGTTACATAATAAGTCGTCAGTTAGAATTAAATCGTGCGATGTAATAACTGCAGTAAATAACTATTTACATGATTTTTCTAGTTTGCAAGAAGGTGGATAATATTTCCAGGGATAATGGAAAATGCGTTTTATGTGTTACATAAGAAATTTATTCATGGAATGTACTTACATGTACTATGTACATACATCGTATAGCAGCGCCTTAGCATATATCTCTCACGAGAATATATATTCTTAGCTGTACTAAAACTAAGGTCTCATTACGTTATTTTACAATGATAGAGTACATTAACGCATACGTACATTAAAGTCTATCAAAGAAGGCACTATACGGTGAAACCAAAATATAATCAATCTCGCAGACGATAATTCTTAGACGGTTTACAAGTTGAAGTAAAATTAAGAATTCGAAATACAATTTCTTTTTTCACTGAGATGATGCCAAAGCTTAATGAACATATCGTGTATCGTGTATGACATTAAATCTTCATCATTCTCCTTAAGCGGACGATCGATTTGTATTTCGCCGATTAAGATCATAGATTCTTTTGTCTTAATTCGATGATGGAAAGAAAGAGAAAGAACGGAGAAGGGGAAGAGGGGGGGGGGAGAGAGCGAATTATGCTTGCTTTTGGTGCCAATGTAACAGTAACAAAACAGCTTCTACGACAAATCCTTTGAGAACAAAAACTGGGAAACACGGGTATTAATAGCGGGCAACTTCTCGGTGCGGGTTTTAGAGGTAACAACGGTAACTTACATAACACAACAATGCAATTTCGCATAGATAACAATAACCAAGGACACATAACAAGGATCAGATAACAATAACGATTATACATGCGTCATATGGTGGGATTATGGCTGGCCAAGTGTTTCTGACGATTAAATATTTGTCATAGAATTTAACTGCAAGAAGACTAATTGACAATCGGTAATCTCGTCGGAGCAAATTTACCAATGCAAATGGAGTAAAAATGTTTTCGTCTACCGGGATTCATCTGGCGAATAATTTTCGTTCGCTTCTACTCGTAACAATAAGTGACTTTAAATATATCTTTTCCATGCACTACGAATTAATTTCAAGAACGATAAGTTCGACGAGTTGTACACTTTCACGTTTACGAAACTTAGACTTTCATTTCGAGTTTACACCTATTTTTGGAACATACTTTTTACCGTGCTTGCGAGAATCGTATTTACAACATCGAGCAAAGTCGTAGAAGTACATTTTCGCGTATGCCAGGAAAGAAATATAAGCGTAAACATTATTAATTGCCCAATTGGAATCGATTTGATTGATCGCCCTGCCGTCGCATTGTCAACAATAATAAAGCAATCTGGAAATGTAATGGTCTCGTAATAAAATCTAAATAGCAAATATTAATAAAGATAATAATATTAAGGATCGAACAAGTGGGTTAGGGTAAACAAGAATGGCATCAATAACGAGCGAGATAAATGTGTATAAGTAACGATTATACAATATTATGATTAAGGCAGACAAACTAATAACTTCAACTGACCAAAATTTCAACGTGAAATACAGAATACGTTTTCTGTTATGAATTTTCAACAACAATGATAACGGCGAGATGTGCACCACCGGAATTCACGTGGATTTGGAACGTAACGGAGTACACATGAATCGGGAAGTAATGCGACTTTTTAGAATATAGATTTTGCAACTACTCTTTTGAAACAAATCTGTCAGATTAAATAATATTATGACACACGAGGTTTTTCTCTTATCACTGAAATATCCTGGTGGTATTGGCAGTTCAAAATTCTTACATTTATTTTGCGAATTCGTTCAATAGGGGGACTGATGTGTTTCCAACTTTGAAATTGACTCGCTTTAAACTTGTTAAAACATCAGAAATATATAATGTCATAATAGAATTCGCGATGTCTATCGAAAATTTGTAAGCAGTAAGTGAATGGGGAAAGGCCAAATGTGATCAAAAGGTACGAAACAGATTTCCGAGTGCAGAATATTCGAGGGAGTTTTGCGGATGCATGATGACGATGATTTACAACACGAACAAAGTATCAACAGTACAATCAACAAGGGATTAACAGTGTTAAACACAACTTTTCGACAAAACTGAGAACATCCGAAATCTCGGTAATGGGGGAACGTGCGATAAAGTAACAGGGATTAAACAGGCGTTAAAGGGAAACGGGGCGTAACATCCGATAACTTATTAACAGCAACAACGTGCCAAACAGAAATTCAACGTGAACAACGGGAAAATTTTGGGGACGGGGGTTGCATCGGTTGACCAAAAGCATAAACTTCGACACAAACGTAAACAACAGAAACAATAACGTTCAGATAAGCAACATACGAGAAGCATTCAAAAGCAGCATAATACGTTTGTGTGTGTGTTGTGTCTGAACAATTCTCTTTCGTCGAATATAAAGCCGTCTCCTTTCTTTACGACGTGTACCTTGAACGCCTTCGTTCGGATTGTATTACTCCGCGGACGAAATTTAACTTCAATCGTTACCACAGGCAAAGTACAAATCATTCATGTTGCAATTTTTCTCTCTTACCGGAAAATCGACACTACGTTCATCGAGTACATATATCTTTTGCCATCTGGGTAATTAACATAAACCATTTTGTTTCTGCAACAGTATGTATATGCGTTTACCCTAGACCTTAAAACTATGTCGTAAAAGATATCCAATTGTATAAAGAAAACTGATAACGTCACGCTATGTTGCTTAATTCGTCGAAGTGTGTCTTAATGCGACTATTCTTAAGATGTGAAAAAATTTCTGCTCACTACATTTGGATAAGTGCTTAACGGATTAACATATACTTCGATCTACATTAAGTGATTAGGTCTCTCGCGAAAACTAAATGCTCTTAAGTAATCTATGCCTACGAGATGAAGCTGATCAACTGTAAATCGATAATGTTTGACTTTTAGGCGAATAACGTGAGACCCGACAGCGGATATAAAAAATGGAACGGAGTACTTTATAAATTAGAGCATTTAATGTTAACTTATGGCATTATTAATTGACAGTTGACAAACGATATCTCACAACGCTAGACGTTGTAGCGTTCACGACTCGTACTTATCACTACTCACAGGGGTATCATCCATTTGTGCCTGACACGATTGATCGTACCGGCGACAAAGTTAAGAGTTAAATCTAAACGCAAAGTACTTTATACGACACGATTGTGCATAGGTTTTATATTTTTTACTACACACGTGTTAAATAATTTACGTTCTGCATCGCGCATTTGTCGATAACGAAACGGTCGAAGCGCGAATTTTCAGACGAGCTTCTCTTCCTGACGTACACGTTTTGATTATTTGAGTGGCTGAAACCGAGCGGCGTGACAATCTGAAGACGCGATACTGAAACGCGCAGATCCTGAAAGGAACCTGTTCGTCTCGCAAAACGGCGATTACGTTATGCAACGCTTACAAGACGATTTCGCGAAACGAACACTTCTCCATATCCTTTCAACATCTCCGCGCAGCAGTCGAAACAACACCGAATCTGTTCTTGCGTTCTTCCTTTTGCAATAATAAAACACAATTGTTCATCTCAGCTCTAGATTAGAATTACTTTCGTTTCGGTCGCGCTGAATTACTTTCAAGTCGGCTATAGAACGGCTATTACTTCGCGTAGAACGTATCATGCCTTATATTTACATGCTTATTTCTTTCTCTTTCGTTTTCTTTTTTTTGGGGTTTTTACACTCTTCTTTTTTATGAATAAAAATAAAAAATAAAAAAAAATAAAAGAAACAAAAAAGAAGGTAAAAGAAATTAAAACTGAAAACAAGCTAAATATCAATTCGTGAAATCATCGGAATGTAAAACAATGTGTCGAATTCAACAACAAATTAAACGAAACGCGTAACGTGTGGCGATGAAGCATGACATAGAGTCCACAAAGCGCAGTTGAGTAAAAATCTAAAATTACAGCGTATCCGATTTCTCGAACTCTTGAATATAACATGTGGGTGTGAAAAAGTTTGTCATCCTTACTACATTAGAAGGTTTACGTTAAGTGCATCTAGTCGTCATTTACAAATCAATAGCACAATAGCTTTTGCGGTTTTATACGGTTTTCGTGTAAGTTTTCACTGAGATCGACGTTTCTAGCCGTAAAGACGACGAAACTTCCTTCTCCAATTCATGTTATAATTCCAGTTACAAGTAAATAATTGAATCTGCAGCTCTTAGATTACGCCTTAAGACACGATGAAGAAAGAATGAAATATATAGATATACAATTTATGTATACATATTTCAGAGATCTATGGCGGCGCGCTTTGTGCTTTGGTATTAACGACGATTTCACAAAGTATAAGATAAAGGGAATCGAGCAAAATAAAAGTAACGGACAAATTAAAGAAATGACAAATAAATGTAAATAAATTAACTAAACCTACGAGAATCTTTTAAAGTAAATTAAACGTAACGACTTAAGTGCCCGAAGTTGCAGAACTGTGACGATCGATTTCGACGATAAACCGTAATAAGATTTTCGCTATTAGCTAATACTCACGATTGATATCGATATCGATTAGTGACTTAAGTATAATCTAGGATAAAATTACATACAATTAGAACAAGGGATAGTACCTTTGCTGATGGTCCCACGACGTCCCACGACGTCCCGCGGGGTCCGTGACTCAAACGACTGTGTCCCATGTTGTTCCGCTATGATTTGGTGCTCGCGATTTTCCAAGTGTGTGTCCAAGAGTTGTCTTCCGAGGGTTGGGTCCTCCGATGAATTATCCACGAAACACAATTAGTCCTTTGCTCATTCTTGATTCCTTGAGCTCTTCTTGCTTGATTGGGAATAGAAATAAAAAGTCGTTGTCGATTAGATAAGTTCTTACTGAGATTAGCTTGTCGAGGATTCTTGCACAGTCGGAAAAGTCCGCGATAGCGATTTTTGTCCTGCGTTTTGCGTGTCGAGTCAGGGTGCTTTTGGTCGAAGGTTCTTCATCCAGATACGAATCCTTGTGCGATTCGTGATTTTGTGCTCGAGTGGAGGGTTTACTAGTGTTCGAGAGTTTGTTCCGAGTAGACGATTCTCGCCATTCTTGTTTTCTGGCGGTATTTTGCTATCTGGGGGGGGGGTTTCGCGTTCCTCAAGCGGTTTTTGTGTGCTCGTTGGACGTAATTTAGGGTGAGATAGTTTGACTTACGCCGCTACAGAGCCGCGTGCGCAAAAGGTGATTTTTGACGTAGCGATGGTTTCGCAAGGTTTGCTGATAATTTCCGGTTGTTTTCAGAGTATCCTTGGATTGGACCAAAAAGGACTCCGCGTGTACTGTTTTGCGTAGCGTCATTCGCAAACGAACGTCATAAATTAGCTCGACTGTGATAATCCAATTGGTTTTGGGACTCGATAGAAATTGATTCGATTAATGATTTCGATTGATTTTAGGGATGACATCTGCTCTGAATATCAATCTTTCCGCCCACTTCCCTATGGATTTTGCGTGTGAAATTTGCGCGGGTCGCTTTTGAGATCTCTGTTTTGAGCGCTGCTGTTTGCTCTCTCTCTCTGCTAAATCATTAATCGATCGAGAAATTGGTCAGGTGTGTGACGGTGCGCGAACTCGTCGATCCGAAATAACTTGCGAATTTCGATCGAGAGCTTTAATTATTATCCTTCGCCGGGTCGAACTCTGGTAGGTCGTTTTTCCCCGATGCGAGAGTCAAATCCGTGCAGAACTGTTTCTGGCTGCACGATGTAATTTACGTCGTGATTTCCGATTTTGCGATTTGGCGCTTTTGATCTGCTCTGAAGCCTTGATTCGCATGCCGTCGATTGACATGCGCGTTGATCAATCGTCTCCTGTTTGAACCGTGAAATGATCAAAATGGTCTTGCAGAAATGCTTCACGTAAAGTTGCTGGGCGGGTAATTGAAAAAGTAATCGTCGACAATTTGTGTAAACGTGAGCTTGGAATCACGTTACAATCTCTTTGGTGATGTCGCAGCGCGTAAAGAATGTAGGGAAGTGTAACGAGAAATGCTTTCCTCGCGGTGTACGATCCGCGAATGCCTCCTGTAAATCGTAATATACGAAAAGTATGGCCGCGCGTCCTGCTGCGGCCGTTTGGTTAATGCTCTGCGAAATAATAATCCTGAGGGTGTGTGAGACTTGCACTTGTGGCGGCGTATAGACCGAAGGGTTGCCTGGTTGAGGTCGGAGGAACGATTTCCGTCCATGCCGTGAGCCTTTCGCGAGGAGAGACGTTTTGTCCTTTCCAATCCAATTTTCGAGCGAGGCGGGGTCCAGACTCTCGCAAATTTTTCGCGCTGCGAAACAACGCGGAGAGTACGTATTTGCACGTGCGTGTATACGTGTGAGTTTGCTTTTTGGTTTTCATCTCCCGAAGTGAACTGCGTGATCCTGAAGTGCGCCGCGCGATGCACGGCGCTGTGTAACATATTAATTTTCCGATTGATTTCAGAGAATTTTCGTCGATAGTGTTACTATCATTAGTATTAGTATCGTTGAGTGTGAGGGTAAAAGTAACGTCGGCGTTTTTCGTTTTTGAAGTAATAATAATAGTGATAGTAAATGTGTTGACGTTTCCAGGTGTTGGCTGTTTTGGACGATGCTCCAAGTGTTGCGTTTGAAAGTGTTCGATTTCGCTGGGAAGCTTTTGCTCTTCGGTCCGGCGAGAACGACAGGTGCAGCCTCCGCCAGTCAGGTGGTTTTTGAGTTTTTGAAAATTTCGCGTTGGAGATCGAGTTGAACTGAGCCGTCTGGCGGGTGGAATAGAACCTCGTTGAGAGACGGAAGGTGGTTGGTCCAACGAAAATAAAGAAACGTTGCTTTGGTCATGAGATCGGAAGGTTCTTTCGATACCAGAATTCGCGGAGCTTTGTGTACGCCTCGAGGATGTCTCGTTCGAAGGCGCTTTCGAGTGTGCAAGATAAATCAATGAATATCCTCAGGCTCGCCGGGTAGACACGTGAAAGCCTGTTTTCCCCTCTTGTGCGAAAATGTGTAAATGCGATAACTTCAACCAATGATGCGCGGTAATTGCGATAAATCCAACAAATCCCGTAGATGCAATAAACATAATGGACTGCCTGGTGGACTGAAGAAACGTTGCGATCGTCGCCCTTGATCTCCGACGACCTCCCCCAATCATCGGAGAACGAGATCGCGCCGGATACATTCTTTATCCGTTTCGGTTACTCGTTTTGGCTCCTCGCCGGATAGCTGGCTTCCGCCTGACGCCGGATTCCGGCTGCACCCGCTGATTTTGATCCTCCCGCGCCGTCCCGTCGACTGGTTGATGCCATGATTGATGCCCTGATTGCCCTTGATTGCTGCTGCTGCTGCTGCTGCCTTTTCCCGGGCCGTCCGAGTGGTGAGACCTGGAAGGGTGTGAGCGTTAGCTACGAAAAAAAAACACACAAGGGCCGGTTGTTCACATTTCCGTGCGTTGAAACTCTAATCTAACCGATATCTACCAAATGCTCTTTAGTGACGCTAAACAAAGTTAATCCCTTTGAGATTTCGGATAGCATTAGTGGGTCGAAAAGTGTGCGTGCGGTCGTCGCCAAGCGTCGTTTTTGAGCTGCCACGAAGATGGATGCGCTTTCGTTCCGCGCTGCTTCGCTTTTGAACCTGAATTCGCGAACGCCCTGCACATACGTCTTTTGTCCCCCGACCAGTTCCCATGAAGAATCCCGATCAATTTCGATCAGTACAGGCGATTTCCTCGCGAGCCGATTGATGCGACGGTATTTTAGACTGGCATCCGTTCCTTTTTGTTCCACGCAGACGGTATGCATGTCGATCAGAAGGTACTTCGCGACGCTTGGCTCCACGGTGAATTTTATATTGTGTTCGGAAAATTTAGCTGTGCTGAAGAACGATATGGGTGTAGAGAATTTGCGACCATGAGGCTGTGATATGATGTCGGAAAGTCTAGTTTGTTTTTTTTTTCTTTGAAATTTTAAATCAGATTGAGAGAGTCAACGTTCGACGGTAAATTTTTGATAATTTCACATTCGGTTTTTCTGTCACATAATGTTCCGCTTGATCTTAATTTCTTCGTGAACAACTTAGTGGTGAATTGGATTTTTGTGTCTCTTCATTTAATGTGCTCGATCTTATTTTTGATAATGGCGATGCAGTTATCCAAGTTATTCAAGTTATCTCGAGAGAAAAGCTGTTTTTCTACCACAAGGAAGCGGTTTCTTTTGTTTTTGGTATACGCTCGCCTTTACAAATACTGTTTAGACGTTGAACCTTCAATTTTACATCGAGATTGCGGACAACTTTTTCGGATTTTCTACTCAATTGAATTGCGGCATGTGCTTTCGCGTTTACGAAATGGGCCTTGGAGGTCTGTCTGCCGGTAAAGTCGTGCATTCCTTAGAGCAATTTGACCATTCGTCTAATAGATAGAATCATCCCAAAGATATTGTACAAGCACTTTCATCCTTGATTCTTGAACGCAGTTTAACAACAATATACTTCGATTTTTGTCAACATTAGCATGTTCTCGAGCGTTTCCAAGTAAGTCTTATATTTTTATTCTCGGCCGACGGTATGAGAAATCTCTTTTGATCACCGTTTTGTTTGTGAAACTTGCTTGACCTTTTCTAAATTCGTATCGCGAATAGATAGCCAAGAAACAGCGGATTTAAGGGTCACGACGTATCCGCGATGTTATCACTCGATGAGTCCCCGAAGATCGAACGGCGAATTTCGTAGACAAAGCGTGTCCGTTCTTATTAGCTACACTTTTTCACTCTATCTACATTGGTGACGTGCGATTATCGCGGTGGAACTTTGACTTGACATCTCTCTGCGAAGACGTGGAAGTTGCCGGAGAACATCTTGCAATAACGTAGTCACAAATAAATCAATAGATCGCGTCGATGAGTCGAGACTGAAGTGATTTTGGGGAATGATCTTGGAAAATTCTATAAGTGCCATAGATTCACGTTTACTTCTACCTTGCCTTTACCCAGAATCGGTACAAGATACTGTAAAGCACAAGCTGTTAATTTTCGTATCGCGATTTGTATATATGTTTTGCAAGAAATCTTTCGGACGCTCGTGCCGTGTAGAAATCTCAAAGTCTGCCCTATTCGTGGCACTTATACCGCTTACCACGATCACGCAAATGTATGATAACACGCACTATTGCGAGCAGCTGGTAGTAGCCTGCGGTACTTGAATATAAAAACGCGTGGCCTAGCGATCCCGTCAACAATATGTCAATTATACTCGCGCTTCGGAGGGAGAACGTGGGGTGGAAGAGGGAAAGGACACGAGCGCGGAAAGTGTAGCTGAGAGGAACAGAGCAGAAGCGAGAATCAAAGACCTCGATGGTTCCCTGTGTGTACAACCGGAACAACCGGCCCCCGGAAAGACCGGAGAGCACAAAAAAAAAGAGGGCGAAGCGTGAATCGTGGAAAAGAAGCGTGGCCGCAAGAGAAGAAGACAAAGAAGTCGTGCTGTTGTACTGCTGGATGCAAGATGGACCGTGGGACTTGTAGGCATTATGAGTTAGTTAGCCCCTTTAAGGGTTCTCTCTCTTCCCTGGGAACGCGCGTAAATCACGAAACGCGAGGGGGAGCGAGGTGACGAAACACCTTTTATTACGGACGTAGAAGGGCCGGGTACGTGAGGCGTATGAGGGACTCTCAAAAGCGGAACTCTTTTTTCCTTTCCTTGTGGCTCGTTAGATTCTCGAAGGCCGCGCGACAATGCCAATGCCGTGGCTCTTTGTTACGCGAGTCCGGCCTGCTTCGCGTTCTGATGTCCGGAATCTTTTCTTCCGCTAACGATCGCGTGGTGTTTTGGTGTTCGTTCGTGTTTGGCGTTCGTTCAGATCGTTAGAGTGGTCTTGACGGGTTTCGACGACTGATCTTTGTCGACCTGTTACGCTGATTCGCAGGAAATTATCTCGAGCAATTGGATCATGGCTCGATACGTTCTACAACTGCGACGGGTGATTTCACGGGTTATTCGGGCTCGCGTGAAACTGATGATGATGGCGGTAATCGAGTATTTCCATTCGTGGGACATTTTCAGTCGAAAAGCGATGTCTCATCGATAGATCACGATTTTCGTCATTCCGACACGTCTTTCTCTTAATTTGCCGTTGAGATTTTGCAATTTTGCAATTGAAAGAAAGCCGGCGTGGTCAATCTCGCGAGATTATTTCTCGGACGTTTGTAATATATTAACTAGAGTGTCAATTTTCATATCTTCTTTCGGGAACTAAACAGATTCGCCCGGTCGTTTTGTGATTTTTGAAAAGGCATTATAAAAATCCAAAGATACTTTGTACTCGTCCGAACAATCTTTTTTTTTTCAATCAGTAACATACCGTAATATTAGATTCAGGAATTCTGATTTGGATATTATTGAAACACTTCTTTCAAAACGGAGAGAATTTTTTCTTTTTGTAGCGTAATATTAAAAAGCAACATCTTATCATTTCCGTTTCTATTGCGGTAGCTATTGCTATAATTTCTTGCCATTTGGAAAGATGCTTTCTTACAAACGTGTGCTTTTTGAATTCAAACTTCACTTTAGCTCGAAAACATTCTTCAGTCTTTGTATCCTTTTGGAGTTTCTTCTTGGAATGAATCAAGTTAACGTCAAGATACTGCCATATTTTCAAATAGTCAAAAGGGATCTTTTGTTCTAAACCACTGTTATAGGGTGTCCCTTAGAGCCAATAAATTTCTTCTTGTTGAAACAATGGGAATTACTTTTGAAATGGTATCGTGTTGGTAATCAATTTTAAGAAATCCGAAGGGGTTGTGGGGGAAATGTAATTGCCATCATTTCACTTATTCAATTGTCATTCATTGTTCTATTGCAAGTTCACGTTTCAAGTATGTTATTTACGCGACCCCAATTTCATTTAACGGAGCACAAAATAAATTAATACAATACAAAGAGAACTTGGCAGGATATAGCGTGTACCAAAGAATCTGTCATGCTGATTCAACGACGATAAAATAAATTTGAATAATTTATTCAGTAACAGGCTCTATAAAAATGTTTTAATTCTATTTGAAGGAACCAATTTTATACGCGCGTTTTCCCGTAATATAACCGATTTCAGAAAAGTATCGTAACACGAAAATTTAGAGCAACGTACACGTTACTCCCATGTGACGGTCGGGAATCTTATTACATATAAATTTTTTTTTTCAAGATTAAAACAGCAAATCCTTTTTATCGTTACGTACAGACGAGTCTATATTTTCATCAGCTGTAAGCAGATCCCCAGTTGGAGGATCAAATAGATAATGGGAGGTACTTCGTGTCGCAATATATGCGTGTGACTGATATTTCCAGTGTATAAACTCCTTTGGATATGGGAACACATTATTTGAAAGATTAATTCTTGCGTGTCGATGTATTCGGTGACCGGATCAATGCAGTGTTTACGTGCGTCACGGTGTATGAATGTGTGCTGATACGATCAACATGCTCTTTGCTTCCGGCGTAAATATATGGGGAACAGAAAACCGATTCCCTTCACACTGATCGAACATGCGAACAGGTGAAACGACTGCCCGAACAGTATAATTTCCTTCGCGGTGACATTAAATGGTTTTACTTGTTGCAAGATCACTTTTGGCATTGTCAATACTGTCACATTGGTTGTCCTTAATTTGGTTGCGAAGCTCATAAGCGTAAAGACTATAATTATTAATTTATTGTAAAATCTCTTTCTCCCTGTTAAATATTTTTTCTATTGAATTGGTTGATTTCGGTGTTTTCTCTGGGATATTTTGTCTGGAATAGAGAATTCTTCTTTTGGAACGTCAAAATATAATTTTTTCTCTTTTTTCTTCAATGTGCTGCTAAAATAGGATACGTGGAAATTTGTATAACTATATGTTATTTTTGTTGAATTGACAATCTGTCGTTTCGGAACAGCACGATGCAAAGAATTGTATCTCAAAACTGGACAGTGAATTAAATACCAAATAACAGGTTAATTTGACAATTGACATTTAATTTACATTTGGATTTAATTAACGAGCTAAAATTCGTTTCTACCATTTTCATACTTTTTATTACAATATTCTCCGGTCTATCTTACTGCTTGTAATAAAAAATTGTATGGATATCAGTTTCATTGTTAACTACATTTGTTTCTTTCGGAACATGTATAGAAAATTATCGCTGCTTTAATTGTAAAAGGTCGGGTCGAAATACTCGCCAAACGCAGTAATGAAGTGTATTATAAAATTTTGTAGCGAAAATGAAATTTTCGTTCCGATGAATTTTGCTTCTATCATACGCTTGGGTCACATATTGAAAATCTGAATACAAAAATATTTAAATACCTGTCATATAATTCCTCGGGTGCATTTGTTTTGTAGCTCAAATAAAGATGTAGTTCTATTTGTTCTTTCTTTTCTAGATTACGATAAAGAATCTTCTGTTTCATTTATTACGAAGAAGCCTGATTAAAAATAATTTGTCTAGTTTTTCCATATCTTATTCATCCTTTCAAATGCAACAAATTTGAAGTTTCGAATACGATTATACTGGCTTTCGTCTATTATTTTACCGTTTATTTGTCCGGATAACATGATTTTGTGGCCCATGAAAGAGTCTTGTTTCATATCAGATTTCAAATTTATTTCATTTTGCAACAAAGCCTGTTTTGAATAGTGCTTGTTTTGAAATTGAAACTGTGCAATGCCAATCGAATTCGTTTCAACACACAATATCTGAACAGTAACTAAACTGATTACAAAATGAGCATGTTGTCGATAACAGCAGAGAAGACCGTATATAATCATGTAGATAAGCCAACGAATATATCATATCCTATACTGCTATTGGTGAGATTAGAACTAAATGTCTATTGAGTCACTGTCAATCAAAAATGCGATCGATAAATTAATTCCTAGAATACCGAGATGAATGACCGATTAATAATATCGGTCGCAATAACATAAAAATTCTGTCAGAACAAATTTCATGGCAAATAATTCTTGTATTTCAAACTATTTTATTAAATTGATATACCATTGTACCGTCCACGCAAATTATTATCTTTGGCCGTATATTTTTACATTCTCGTCCGTAAATTGCATTCTATTTTGTTAAAGTACCACTGCATTGATCCACTACAAGCTTCTTAGTAGCAACAAATTCAAAGGGCAAATCTTAGCAATTTCATATCAACCGTAAAACTGTGACATTCCTATAGCATAATCGCTTATGTTCCAATTTGAGCGTACGACAAATGTTCTCAGCTTGATATTGAACGGCAATTTCAATATTCGGTGTATGTTGATGAAATGGGGGGAAAAGTTTCTACGTGGATCATCTCGGAATATTCGTCAAAGTTCAATGTCATTTCCTGATTGGATCGCGTTCGGTACTAAGGATGAAGGGAATATTTCACCTGCTTGAATCTGCACATTTTTCATTGAAACTTAAAACCCCGCTATTATGTTACGGAGTTACATGACAAAAATTTCGATAAACGACACCTTTCCGTTTTTATGTGAAGGTTTTCACGTTGTCTCCGTGTTACTTTACGCGACAAATCGACGTATCGACAATTTCTGACGTGCGGGACACGACTATATGCTTAATCAGGGAGGTATAGAGGTGTCTACGCATGCAGATTTGGATTGCAGGTTTGTTAAGCAGCTGAAGTGGAAGAGTAGATCAGAGATTGAGTCGAGTCGTTACAGAAACAGCAGCTTGAAACCGAGAGAGTTTAATGCGCACGCACACGATATGTTGTTAGTTAATCGCATGCATATGCTAATTTACAGAAATGACCATAGTTACACCGATGGATCTGTACACATCTTACTCTTGATCTACGATCGACTATGAGTGACTGCACGCTTACGAGCGCACCTTGGATACACTCGTAAACACGCACACGATTAACCGCAACTGAAAAACGTTCAGAAAATCTACAGGTACAGAGAAGCGGAGAGTGTGCTATCACTACTCGCGATCTCGAAACAAAGACTATCCAAATGACTTAAGTATCTCGGCGAGGTGCAAATCATACTCGGACGATACTGGAAAATTTGGATCAATCTGCCGCGCTGTCGAGCTAATTTATCCGTATTGAAGATTTCACGAAACGTTTTCCCGCGGGGAAGCAATTTCACGCTGTGTCGGCAACATAGCGTGATCGAGAAGATTTTCAACGGACGCGTGCGTGAGTAGTGATAACGCCGTTAACAGGAGAAGCAGTTAGAGGAGAGCGCCTATTTTCTTTTCTTTTTCTTTTTTAGACGAGTACAAATTTCGAAGGACCATTACTATTACACACAGAGCAATTTTTCATCAGACGTGAGTGAAACGAAACAAAAAGCGGACAGACTTTCGAACACAGCGGCGAAAAGGGATAAGACGAGCAAATTTCAAGTCACATTTTGGGGAGGGATATTAGTGCCTGGATAGAGTAGGTCCGAATGATCAATACGCGCGTAACTCGGAATTTCGATCGTAGATTCACGCTATTCTGTCTCGCGAATTATCTCAAGACACCTCCGTCGCGATTAAATTCACGTTAAGTCTCTTGGCACGTCGTGGCGGTCAATTTTTCTCGTTTTCAGCAATTTGGCCGTTTTTTTCTACCTGCCCGAAAATTTTCACCGGTATAAAGTACTGCCCGATAAAATCAGAACACCGTGAAGAAAACAAATTGCATCTCTCGTCCGTGACGTTGCGCGTGACGCGAGTCTAAACGTGCAATAATTAATCGCACGGTAGCAATTGGGCAAATGTGTTGTGCTTTTTGGAATTTAGTTTCCGAGCTCAATTCAATTCGAGTCTCTCGAATGTTAAGTTCCTGAAGCGCGCGCGTAGCGAATCGAATGGCTTCTGGTGTTCTAATTTCACGTTAAATCGTACTGTATCATCGACTGTCCCATTCGCGAAAAACTAAGCGAGTCGAGAAATACGAACTTGCGGAATTTCACTTTTGAGGCCGTCGATTTCGTTCGTCTATTTCGTAAATACGTGGCGGTACTTTGGAGATTAGATTTTCTATAATAATCGCCTGTGAATATGCCTCTTTCAGAGCGAACGTTAATAATTGCACACGTATTTGGTTTCTTTGGGTGAAGTACGGACTCGCTCGATTTTCCGCGCGCGACAGTCGATTGCTATTTTGCGGAGAGGTGCAAATTTCCGGCTTCACGAGGCAGAACGTCGAAGATCCGCGGGGCCGAAAACCAGATTTTAGACGACTTTTAGCGTAGTCTATCGAAGCACCAAGATCACGTGCTAGCCAGGACAAAAACCCGAAACTATACTCACCATCGTGGTTGGTGGGTGCTCCGATCGGATCTGCGACAGAAAAGTGATGGCGATCGCCAGTTAGATGACTGCAGCTTACTTCCTCTCCTCTCCTTCTCCTCTTCACCCCTCCGGATCTTCCACGACCGTGACCGGGGTGGCCGATCGGTCGCAGAAGCCGAGACCTCCTCTCCGCACCGTTGACCGTGATGCTCTGAGGTCATTGCAGGGCGAGCGGGCCCTTATATACTCGCTTGAGGCCCTTCCTTCGTTGCACGTGCTGGCTGATGGGGGCCCTTCAGGGGAGGCCCTTGGGAAAACGGTTTTGGCGCAACGTTTCTTTTCAGCCATCCTTCCGACTCCCTTTCTCTGTCATCTTTCCCCTCCTCCCCCCCCCCTCCCCATCCCGGCGTCGAGGGGGGAAAAAGAGATCGCGAGACGAGACGGGGAAGATCCTTGCTCCTGAACACGTTTGCTCCTTACCTGTTTCTGCACGTAACGTGCGCGGCGGTTTCCTCTCCCGATATTCTTCACCGAGGGGTGCTGGTCGCCCCCCCTGAAAATCCTCAAGGGGGCGAACGGCCCAGGTGCCAGGCAGTAAGATAAACCGAGAACTTTCGGAAATCTCTGCCAAATGGGATTTCTTCGCGAGATGGTCAATTCGACGTAGTATGCGTGAAAAATATCTCCAGGTGGAGTCGTCCAGGAATGAGATTTATTTCGTTCACTGATCACGTCGAAATTAAGTTCCAGTACAAATAGAAGAGCACAAATAAAATTTTCCAGCGGAACGACATTAGAATCGCTGGCCCTCAAATCATTGTATATACATTTAACATGAAAAAGCAAGGAATATTCTGAGTAATGCAAAAGAAATATCACATTCTTTGGAATTAAATAACAAGGCGTCACTTATTCAACTTAACACTTATATCTATTCATGGAATTGATAAATTTTAAATCCCCGAGTTAAATGCTTCAG